TTTTTTTTAGAGATGATGATTCAACATATGCAGATGATGAAATTAGAGAAATTAGTGAAGATGGTGAAATTGAAGAGATCTTGAATGAACCTTTGCCTGAAGGTGAATATGTCAATGACTCAACTCTTTACAAAGGCAAATTGTTTAAAGGCAAGTGTTTCTGATATGTTCAATTGGGGCTATAGTAGGGATGACAGAGAAAAGGTTGGAGTGAGAGAGATGAAAGAGAAATGATTGAGAGGAATGAGAGAGGCGAGCAAGGGTTTGGGGGTTTCTTTTTTTTTTTTTTTTTAAGTTTTGAGAATGAAAATTATTAAAATACCCTTAACCTTAAAACTTAGAATATCCATGATATATAAGGATATTTTTGTCTACTAAAATCCGGTACACATTGCTAAAATGTACCAACTGAAAAACAGGCGTACGCGCGTTAGGAAACCCTATATATATATTAGTTTAGATACATATTATATATATATATATATATATATATATATATATTATAATGTAATTTTATTAATTATGTAATGATATAACTAGTGATATTTTATCTAATAACATTACATATTTTTTTCTTAATAAATCGTACATGTGATCATGAAAACAGCGTTTTACAAAATTAACAAATAAAATAAAATTATTTGTATCCCAAGAAATCAAGAGGGTGGGAATTCAAGGACTATTCGAACTAATACTATGTATAATTACATGAATAAGTAAATAATTAGACTAGTTTTTTGAGAAAGATATTTCCAAAAGAAAAAACATATAAAAATGATTAAGATTATTTGTTAACCTCAAAAATAAAAAAATAAAATAGAGAAATTATATAAAATAATTTTATTAAACTATTATATGTATAAACTAATTTTAAGTTGACAAAAACTGTTTTTTCTTGATATTTGTTATCTTAACAGTAATAAAAGAGATTTTCAAAAAGTCTGAAATCAACCCTATACGGACCATTCATTACAAATCATCACTAACTTACAAATTTTGTTTTGACAAGGAATTTGGCTATCTATCCTCAAGATTTTGTGGTTAGAATGTAGGAAAAAAATATCCTATATTTACATTCTCCTAAGAATTTAAGATAGAGTTAAAAAAAGTTGAATTTAATTTTGAAGTTTTTTTTTATAAGAAAAAAATATAATATTTCCTTTCAGTTAAGATAATCTTAAAAAGAATTTAAGCTATAAAGTTATCCTTTAAAATTTCATGTATATACAAACATTTGTGAATTTAATTTAACGCGAAGGAAAAGCATAAAAACTCAAAATATTATCACAGTTTACTCTAATAAATAATATCAGTTATACCTAATTGTCTAGTCACTTATTTAATTAAAAAGCCTAATTTTTAGTTTTAAAATTTTAATGTAAAATTAAAATTTATTTATGTTTAAAATTTTGACATAATAAATTTTAATATAATTTAATTATCAAAATTTAAGAATGGATGAATATAGTTTACATAATTTAATATTTAACGTATCAAGTGTGGTTATGAGTTGAGATTTGAATTGTTTATCCATTTTGATATATTTTAGTTTAAATATTATTATAAAAATAATTTAACACATAATAAAAATTAACACATTAAAAATAATATAACTACATTAATTTATTAAAGTTTCAATGTGGAAAAATTAAAATTTTCATTAAAATTATACTTTCAGAATAAAAAAACAAGAAAAAAAAAATACAAATAACAAGATCTTGAATGATACAAAGTATCGTATAGTCACTCATAAAATCTATCATGAGCAATACTTTCACCACCTTAACAAAACAAAAACACACCCAATAACAAATAAAGATCAATTAGTTAGGAATTTAAGTACACTTCCAAAGATTTCAGATGTCTGCGTTTCTATAAATAATTTAGTTAAAAATTTATTTTGTTTGTTATTCTTTTAAAGAAAAATTAAGAATCCGGGCGAATTTGGTATGTAGTAGTTCGTGATCATTAGTTTTGTTGAAAAATGATACTTTTTGATACACATTTTTTTTTTTACAATTTATTTACAACAGCTCTTGTGATAATTTATTTTTTTTTACAATTTACAACAGTATATTTAGTTTTTCTGTTTTAAATATACGAATCAATAAACAGTGATATATAATATATTTCAACTTTTTTACATTAAATGAATGTGAATGTATGTGAATGAGTATCATGCTATTTTTGTTTGTACATCTTGAACTCTGATGCTATAAACTTGACGCATTTCTCATGTTTCCATTTCTAACTCATGCATCTTAATGTTTTCAAATGTTCTTCCTCTTCTTGAAAAGTTGATGTCGATGTTCTGAATAAGTCTATTTTGATCACATGTCTAATTATTTTTTAATAAGTTAAAGTTATAGTTAACAGAAATACACCATACACCATACACGAAGAACCTTGCAAGTTGCAGAACAATTGGTTGAGTAGTAGGTATGCTAATAACTTGAATCAATGGTATTTTCCAACCTAGCAATTTACATTTTTCATTTTGTGACCACCATACAAACGGAAGAGACTGAAAGCAGAAATACAAGACAGGACCACCATACTAAGGCTAACCACAAAAGCAGTAGCCATCCCTTCTCCCACTTGGTTGCAGAATTTTCCATACATGTTGCACAACTCCATCCACTGCATTTCTGTCTGGCCCACCTTTGCTAACATACCCGATTGCCCTGCAGCCGCCACTGCCGCCACTGTTACATATGCCATTACCTTCATACATACCAAACTTATGTCTTTAGTCTTATGATCACAGTGTGTAGCACTTTTCTTAACTAACATGTTCTGTAAGACCAGGATCCATTTCTTCATGATGGATTTGTTAGAAACAATAAATGAATACAACAGAATTTCTTTCTTCCTGTAAAGGTGTATTGAAATTGTAGGATAATAAGACCACATCTACCATGCTCATTGTGTTTTCATTACTCATTCCCATGTGCTATTAAAAATCCCAACAGCCACCACACACTTGGATACTCCCCAACCATGGAATTTAGTATGTCTTATCGGTGAATGATGCAGGAATCCTAACATCAATCAGACACGGTTCCCTAAAGGTCCCACCACAGTATCCTTGCTTGACAAGACCAAGTTGAGATCTTTATGTTTTGCTGTCTAAATTTGACCCTTTTTGAGCTTTAGACAAATGTAGAGAGAAAAAACTATAAATAAACATATCTAATGTTATCAGATGTCGCTCTCTATTGTGAACTGTGATGTTTTGCCTAATGTGATATTGGTTAACAATTACATCAATTGATTGATCTACTAGATAGAATAAAAGGAACTAATTTGATGCAAACTATCAGTAATTGTTCATACGAATTCCTTTGAAACAAGGAACAGCCACCTGTGCAAGACTTCAACTTGGGGTATTAGTTAAGGGAAGCTGTCAAAATTCCATAAAAAACAGAAAAATGAAATGCAGTGGGAGTATAATAACATGGTGACGCATCTTGATACTTTAGTTTTGGTCACATTTCAAAAGAAAAGCAAATCGCAGTGTTTTTCACTTGTATAAAATGTACCTGATCACCAGAAAAATTTGCCCAAGCTAGTTGCTTGCTTAAAAGTGCTCTTCCTCTGAGGATACAAACGATACAGTGCAGCCCTTGGAGTAAGGAGAACCCAGCAGCTAACCCATTTGCAACTACCAGGAATCTGCAAGGTTAGCAACAACATAAATTAGAACATTACAATCTGCAAAGTTTAGGCAATAAAAAAACAAGGTTTAAAATTTCAAAAGAGAAGATTGGGGAGTGAAAGAGCTTACACTAAAGCCTTCATGTCTGTAAATTTTGCTGTTTTCTGAATTGAGAAAAACTCTTTGACTTGGGAATCAGTTCCCACGAGAACAGCCGTGAGAACTCCCAAACCTAAGATCACACACCTCAACACCAACTCAGTTATCTTGATCCTCCTATCAAACACTTTCGCATTTGTGTCGTGGTTAACTGGGACAGTCCCAGTACTAACACCTACACCCAAATAACTACTCATTTCTCCTCCAAAATCAACACTCAGAAACAAGAAACAAGGTACAATAGAAAAAAATTCCTCAAATCAACCTAGAAAGAAAAGTACTGAGAAATGAGAACTATGGATGAACACCAAGTTTAACTTTCTATTAGTTATATAGACAGTTTTTTTTCCTCCTATAAAGTTGTGACTGTGGTGCTTAGCGGCAGAGCTGCACAGCGTGCCAAGTGGTCCAAAATTGGAGCTGCTAGGACAGACTAGAGAAAGTGTGTTAGGTAGACATAAAAGGCACTTCAATCCATGTATACTTACATTGGCATTAAATGGGTCTGCTCTGACCTCTGGTTCTGCATTTAAGGACTGATAAAGGCAAAGAAAAATTTGATTTTGAGCGCTCCTTAATTGTGTCTGGGAAGAAGTAACAGTTTCCCGTCCCTAGGAATGATCTGATATGATAATATGAGGAGTGCTTAAATCCTGATCAACCAAGGATAGCGTGTGATACCCATTTGCATTTTTGCCTAGACCATACCAAAAGCATGGTAAAGGAGGATATGGTGCCTAGTTTTTAACATTTTTTTTTCTGGGGTTTAGGAAAAGGATGAAGTCTAAGCAGAGAAATGCGACCTTCCCCTTTTGTAGATATCTTGCTTTGATAAAGCATAATAACAGTTAGTTTCACTTGTTTGGCCTAGTGTAGAAATTTGGTTGCTGAAAAGTTACTGAATATAAAAGCTGGTGGAGGAATCATTAAGGGTCATCAAGAGTTTTGATTATTTGGATCGTTTGATAGATAATATACAGGTACGCGTATTAGTGAATATGCAACTCAGAAAACATGTATGTGATTTGTCTCATAAATGAAGAACTGAGTGTTCACACGTGAAATGAAAGGACAGCAAACCATGCCAAGTATAAATTAAGATAATGCCATTCCACTACATATCAACAACTTCATTCCACTAACAAGCTTAACTTACCCTTGTAAGATTGCCTTTACATGTGCATAGAAAGTTATCTCAAATTCTCAATTCTCAAGTACTTCCAAGAAAAAAAAAAGCACATTGCATTATGCTATGGTTTTTTAAAGATGGAGTTATAGAAGCTGAATTGAATAAATTTAAATTTTCTAGTACATACCTTATGTCCTTCCAGTTTCCACCATGCTTGTCTATTTGAAGTAAAATTAAATATATATTATTTAGTACTGCTACTTTGCGTATCCTGCATTGCTGTCTGCACCACTGAACAATCAACAAGGTGGTCTGAGGAAGGATTAGATCTTTTATGGGCTTATAAAAAGAAGTTTTATCTTGCATTTGATAGAAATTGGTTCTGAGTTTAACTTGTGATAAATACTTACAAAATGAGTTATTAATAGTATTTTGATGAACAACCATGCTCAGGTGTCTTTATCATCTATTCGGAGTGTTTTTCATGTACAAATTTGCCCATTTCGCTTAAATAAAAGAGTGAATGAATATAACATTAGTGGAAACAAACATAGCATTAAGGGTGTATTTAGATCTGAAGATGGATTTGAAAAAATAGATTAAAAAATAAAAATAGAGTTTAGATTAAAAAAAATGATGAAAAATAAAAGAATTTCATATGAAAATTAATGAGTGATATTATAAGTTTAATAGAATAAAAAAAATATTTTAATAGTTAAAAATAAAAGATTTCTACTTTACCTTTAATCATAAAAATAATTTAAAATAAAATATAACTAATGTTAATTATATTAAAATGAAAATTTATTATTATTAATAATAATATATTATATTATTATTATTATTATATATTATTAATGAGATGTTAAATATGATTAATGTAATTCACTCTCTGTAGCCTGAGATGGTGCTTAACGTCAACTCAGTATAAAAGTGACGACAAGGGAAGTGTATCGGAGTAATTGAAGCACGCTGAGCTGGCCTTCTCCCTTGTTCTCTTGGCTCACTCAAGGAGTCCCCTACCACAAATCCTTCTGATCAAAGGGATGCAAATAATTTTTAAATGTAAAAATGAATTTGAGAAAAAAAATAATGAATAAATTGGAAGATATCTTAGAATGAAGTTTGCGTTGTGTCCGTGAAAGTTAAGATATTTAAAACTAAAATTTGTGAATGATTCAACTGATGTGGTGATGAAAAAAATTATTTTAATAAATTAAAATTTGAATCCACATTTTTATCCTTATGATTAAATTATTTAAAAAAAATAAAATTTGACTGATCAATATAGAAAAGATTATTTAATAGCTATAATTAATTTAAAATATAATTTGATTGGTAAGAAATAATTTTAATTAAGTATTACATGGTAAAAAATTAAAATTAATATTAAATAATTAAGTTTTCATTATTATTGTTGTTGCATATATTAGGTTAAAGAAAATGTAAAGTACATACAAATAACAATACACAAATTAATCAATCGAAACAACGAACATTCATCATCTTCCATCTTTAGAGACAGTTTATTTCAATATAAATATTGAGATGTGGATGGTTATGAGATTTGTTTTTATATGGATAATGATACTTTGACAATATTTATTTAATAATATTTTAACATCATTTACGTGTTATTCTGTGATTGGTACATGTTGGTATTTATGATTATTATTATTGATTATAAATAATTTTGGAATAATCAGACAAGTAAATGATGTTAAAATATTCTCAAAATATCATTATCTTTTCTATCTATATGTAAGAGGATTTGAAGGCGTAAATATATTTTGATTATAAAAATATCCTACAGTGATTACACTCTTTTTTATTTATTTATATATTTATAATTATATATTTTCTTTTTCTCTATATTAAGGGCACTAGTCCAATGAAATGCACATACCTAATTAAACAGCAAATTACCTAGGCCTGTATCATTTTCATGGCTTGTATTCTTAATTGAGCCATCAAATTTATTCTTAATTGAGTTTAACAATAATAATGATTCTAAGAATATAAATAATTATAATAATTATCTCCATTATTATAATAATAATCATGGGTAATAATTAAAATAATAATAATAATACCTTAATTAGTAATAATAATATCTACCAAAGGATAATTGGGTCATTTCAATAAATTTCTTTTATTCAAATATTTTTTTAATTTATATCAATAAAATCATTCACAAATTTTCTTCTTATTTCAAAAACTGTTTTATTTCTCCACAAATTTTCACATATTATGTTTTCTTTAATCCAAAACAAATTTACATCTACCTCATTTTTTCCTCCTTAGATTTACTTCTTGAAATTCATTTTCAAACACAAACACTAACTTAATCTTTCTGCAATTATTCCATACTTTCCGGACCCGAAACTCTTTATGGACCAATCCAACATTCCAAACATGTCCAAAAATGTCTCAAAATTACCAGTAGATAAATTGGAAATTTTAGTTCAACTCTTTTATTTTTCTTAAATTAGCTTTCGAAAGCTAAAAATACATTTGGAAAACAAATTTTGATAGACAAAAAGAAAAGGACTTAAAGAGAACAAAGGGGAGATGAGAGTAAAACGGGCCAATTGTTTTTGTCAGGAAAACTGGGTGGCCCATGTCCTCAGATCAAAACAAACTGCATCCCACGGACACTCAATCCCTCGTATCACTGAATCTGGGGCTTCGCTAACTTAATTTTTAGTTAAAAACAATTAATTTAACCTCAAGCAGTCCTATATGAACACTCTATCACTCTAGGCTATAAATTATTGGTAATTTTAATTATAATTTCTATTAAATTTCTAAAAATAAATTAATAATATAATATGCCCGTTCAATGAAATACGAAACTTAGAATAGCTAGTATTGGATACACAGATGATGATTATACTGTTTTCTGCATTTGCTTTTCTCACGTCTTATTGTTTATTAAATGAAGAGTGGATAGCAGCAGAATGTAGTAGCCTAACTTTGTGATGAGAAAGTGGTTCCTCATGTACGACCTACTCTCCATTACGTTTCTGTTAAAGAATATTGTGATGAGATCTTCATGCCTTTTAGCCTGCAGCTGCAAACACCATCAACACTTTCTCACTCTCTTCTTATTTATTCACACACTCCATAACTTTTCCAACACCCTCTTCTTTTCTTTTCTTCTATTCTCTTCTCTTCTCTTCCCCAATGGCCCTCATAAGCTCTTGTTTCTTTATCATTCTTTTCCTTCTTGGTTTTGCAGAATCACAGCCTCTCACACACCCCTTTAACCACACTGACTTACAATCAGCAATACGTGACATGCGAGCAAAATCTTACTACGGATTCGCAATGCTTTTGCAGATGCTCACTGGAACAACAGCACAACCAAATGGGGAATTCACTTTCTTGATGCCGGACGATAAACAATTATCTTCTTCATCTATTTCTGCTGATCAAGTGGGAGATTTCTTGCTAAAACATGCCATACCAATGCCTCTATACTTCAGTGACTTATCTCATTTCCCAACTGGTACCCTTATTCCCTCGGGGAATACCTCCAAAATGATTAGGATCCATAACCGTGGCAAAGGAGATTTCTTTCTTAATAATGCAAAAATTGTTTCGGCCAATGTTTGCTTGAAATCTGTGATCAAATGCCATGGAGTTGATGCAATAATTGACTATTATAATTGAAAATACATTACGTAATTAATGAAGACGTATTTTAGCACCCTTCAGGTGCAAACAACCTTGGATATCAGAACGGATTTCGTTTGTCCTCATACATGCTCCAAACTCTATCCGACAGAAATAAAACCATCACTACGTTTCAAGTTGTTTGTTTTCACTTATCTAGACATTTTCTGCATTCATTTTAATCACAAAACATGTCACATTGTTTCAATCTATTAAAACTTTTCAAAGATTTATACAGGAAAAAAACTAACTATTTTCTATAAAATCTTGAAAACTCCAAGAGTTTTGTGATTAAAAATAAAAGCAGAAAACATTTTCTCAGAGAATTACGTTTTCACCTTTTATCCAATGCAGTATCTTGAGGGTTGATGCGATGAAAGGACATACAGCACAATTTACATTGCCTTATTTCAAGAGGAGGTAATTCATTCAATCAAATTATAGAAATTTGTTTTCGAAGATAAAATGGTATTAAGGATAGCGTGTGTGCCTCGTTTTGTAGCAGTAAAAAGAGGATCCATGATGTTTTGTAGTAAAAGGTCCAGCATATAACCCCACTAGTGTGCATTGAATCGAAGCACCTCATCCTATCCTATATATATACACACACATACGATTACTATAATATTAAAGTGGTAATATATTAGCTAGGGAGGTGCATGGACTTTGTGAGGTTATCCCACATCCAAACATACAGAAAAAAACAATTTGGATTCATTGAACTTTGAAGTCATCTTCATCGTTGTATTTTTTGTAAATCTTGTTGCATGAAAACCGTTTACTTGTTCAGAGGGATTTGTTTCTTCATTTTTTTAATACTTTATTTTAAACTTTTGCTTAACCATAGTACTATCTTCTCCTTCCTTCGTTGTTATCTGAGAAACCTTATTATCTATAAGAATTTCTTATAAGGGCCATGTCAAAATCGCAGTACGGCGCATCACCGTTATGTTACAAATATATATCACTTACACAAACCTCAATTGCACGTTCGTTTTTCAAGGAAAAAATGAAGTTGATTACTAAGCAGAGTGATGAGAAACTTCAAAGGTTGATGCTAACTAGAAATCAAAGGATGAAAGATAAAACCAACCAATTAAGAAAATTAACCAAACATATTGTTCGTTGATATTCAGTGACTGACTGACTGACCAAAATATCCAAAAAGCTCTCATGCATGGTCATGCTTTTTCGAGCCTTATCATTGAATCTTTTCGTAGTAGTAGGTAGCAATTAACACAGGTAGCAATATCAAATAGCTAAGCTGATGATTAGTTGAGATAATACAGTGGTGCCAAATGAAGCCACGAGAGAGGCCATTGTGTCACATCACAATCACTAGATTTTACATTATCCATCCGAAGCAACATCGTTAGAGAAACCGAGATTGTTTCACAGGTGAAGAGAAGTGTCAACACCAGAATCAGCGCCAGAGTCAGAATCATAGACGTTCTTCCATGAAAGCTGGAGGGACTGTGAATGGGTGGAGACCGGGGTAGGAGCACTTGCATAGTCGTCTTGCTTGGCCTGAGAAGATGGCCAGAGGGAGAGAGAAACGTGGGGTGGTGAGGTGGATGGCATGATGAATTCAGGGTGAGAGAGAATGGAGCAAGTGTTGGAATTGTGATAAGTGAGAGTGGAGTTGGAAGTGAATTGCTTAGGTTCATTGAGCATCTTCTGGAGCTCCCTCTCTTCCCTCATTTGTTTTACTCTCTGCAATTGTCTAAACCTCTCTTGTAGAAGAGCAATGGAAGAGTGAAAGGAGGTAGGATCATGGCTTTCCCGACCCATGGTGTGATTGGAGGTAGAGAGGTAGAGAGGTATAGGAATGAATGAGAGAGTAGGTGTGGTTATATAGGATGATGGCATGGTTAAGAAGTTGTAGAGGAGAATAAAATATGGGAGTGTTTTTACTTTTAGTCTAACGATAAAATTGTAAATGGTTAAGAAAAGGGAATGAGAATCGGCAGAGAAGGTGGAAGGTCCAAAAAGAAGATGTTGATTGGGCAATCTAAGCGAGTTTTAAGGGTGTGTATGTGGGGGAAGGAGGCACAAGCATATCTTTCCTTTTTTTGGGTACGAAGAGGCAAAAGCATACTAAAGCAGAAGAGTACAAAGGGAAGAAAACAAGGGAATGTCGGAAGTAGCACATGGAAGGGTATGTTTGGAGGAATAATAAGTCGAGTGATGCCCTGCCAACATGTACCAAAAGGTCTCTTAAGCTTTGGGGATGGTGGAGTCTTTTTGGTAGGCTTTGTTTGGATATCATCAAATTATTTAACTTCCCCTTTTTCCTTTTAGATTATTATTTACTTTCTTCTTACTCTCTAATGAAATGCGCTCCTAACTTGTTGCTTTTGTTGGGGGCAGTGTAATAGCAAGAAGACAAGGCTTAGAAGGAGGAATAATCTTTGGAGGTCATCATGCTTTGATTGAACAATTATGTATGACAAGGACAAACATACCAACATTCTTCTCTCTCTCTTCATCTCTATGCAACTCCTTTGTCCCCGAGTGTTTGGATCTGAATGGCATGCAGAAATCAAAGCTGCTTCTTTTATGCGGCAGAAGCGCCCCCTCCTCTCCTCTATTATTTTCTTTCCATCTTTCCACTTTTAAACCATAACACTCCATTATAATTTAAACCACACTCGCACACGGACAAGGCGTGCATTATAAATCCTATTATATTCATTCTCATTCGCCACTTACTTAATTATAATTAGCACATGTTGCTGGAACTATGTGACCAATCTAGGCCAAATTACCAACATACAACCATAAGAAGTTGCTCATGCAAAACACACATCCATTTATCTGAAACAGTCGCTCCGAGTACCGCCGAGGACTTACTGCTATAACTCTGCCTCACTATGTCCAATAAAGAAAAAGGCATTTGGAGCTGAGTTTGAATGGACGTACCATACCACCCATCCAGCTTCATCAAAACAAAATAGAAAAGTAATATCTCAAATCAACAGAAATTCTTATTCACCACATTTGACCCCATTGTGGCCTTCTGTCCATCAAGACCCTGCTCCTTACACATCACTCATCTCTCAACTTCCCAACCACACTGCTCATTCTCAAATCTCAGATCTAAAACTGCTATCAAATCACACTCACTTTTTTTAACACTTTATTTACTTAATTGGGAAAACAACGGAAACAAGTAACAATATATAGAAACTGTGGTGCTATACCCGAGTGGGATCTCCAGACTATATATCAATACCACAGTTTGATTGATAGGCATTCATTACTGAAAGTAATAGTCATCGTTAACTTTGATCGATGCGGTATACTGTGTTTGATCATTTCCTTGAGTCTGACCTAATGTCTAAGTTGACAGTGATTCACAGCTGAGGAACAGAAAATAGGAGAAGATATTTCAGCCAAACTCATAGATGTTGACTTTTTTAACCAGATGGATAAATAAATATCGACGAAAATAATAAAGAAAACTGATAGATTTTAGTCTTTTTAATAAAAATGAAATTACTAATTTTACTTGTTATAAATCGCAACATAAAAATTCAAATTTATGATGTAGGAACAAATTATTGTTAACAATATAATTTGAGTTAAATTATTACTGATTAATATGATTGATAATTAACGAAAGTTTATGTGCAGTGTTTCTATTTTTTTTAATATCTATAATATAATATTATATTAATAGGTAATGATATTGAAATTTAACTAAGTTCGTATGAAATAAATTTAAATTTATTATGAACAAAGTGTAATGTTTAGTTTTGTGTGTGTGTATGTATATTAGGAAATAAATATATTAATTTTGTTAAAAAGGTAAAATATATCTTTAAAGGGGTTTTCTTAATTATGTAATTTATTCAATATTAAAGAATTGAAAACAAAAAAATAATGTAATATTGTACATGAGATATTAATAGTATATAAGTATAAATAAAACATAAACATTATGTAGCAATTGAGTTTATGTAGAAGTAATAAATAAAAATCATTATTTACCTTTCAAAGAGTCTTCTTAATTTTTATGGAGACATGGCTCATGAATGATTAAGTTTTAAAAAACTAATAATTAAAATTGAATATTATGGTTTACTTATGAGACATTAAAAATACACAATTGTATAAAGTATTGAATAAATAGTAATAACCTCATTGATAAATATATTTTGATGTACACATATACTTTTGTTATTACAGTATGAATTGGTATTGAATTGTGTTGTGTCCTTGTAATGAAAATAAATAAGTAAAAGTATACAAATTTTGTTTCGTATAATGAAAGAAAATAAATAATTTAGAATGTGCAGATTAAATGTTTGTTTTTTGAGAAAGTAATTCTTGTTTGATCAATTTTAGAAATTGTGTTTCATTATAGAACCTTAACAAATAGAATAAATTTGCAAATGATGAATCTATATGTAAATATGACATACATTATTGTTGTCCTCATATATGTAAACATGACATACATTATTGTAGAAATGAATTCATTTGATTATCTTGTTGTCTATTGGCCTAACCAATAAGAGCAAATAATCATATTTCCAGGTGTTCCATTTCTTCACAAATTTAGTATTTTACTACAAAATGTCAACTATTTATTACATAGTTTGAAAATTTTGATTAGTTAAATTTGAATAAATAGTTTGAATTTTTTTTCTTAAATTTAAATAAAGAATCACTTAAAGGATAAATAAAAATGGTAAGATAATTGTTTTAGTTTAAAAGAACATTGCCTAAAAGATAAAATTGGAAAAAGTTATGTACACCAAAAGGAAAAATCAATTTATTAATAGTTATAGATATATAATTCTTATTGTAGGTAATTAATTCATTTTTAAAATAATTATAAATTTTAAAAAGTAAAATTATAAAGTAATTTATAGTAATAAAGGTAAAACTGAAAATAAAATGTGTACAATAAAGATGCGGTTACAAAAATAAACCATTTACATATAGTTATAGATAAAATAATTTTTAGTTATTAAAATAAAAAATATTATAAATAATATTATGTAAATAATTTAATTATAATTAATAATGATTTGAATTCAAAATAGTAATTGTTAAAATGATAAAACTGAAAAATATTTTTTTATTGTGAATATATTTTAATTTTAATGATAATAAATAAAAGGATAAAATTGAAAGAAAAGGACGCAAAAGAAAGTGTATATAATTATAGATGTAACAATAGATAAATCAATTTTATTTATTAAAAT